GCTAACTAGTTATGGACGAACAACTCATCCGGGGGAGTATCATTATTCGTTATTCCTTTATGCTGACGCTGACAGAGCCGGAAAAAGTTCTACAAGCAAAGAGATCATGAGTTAGTCTTGTAAGCGGGCCTAAGCTTTTCTCTCACCCTCTTTTGACGGAGATATACATATCAATAAGTCCTGTTCATGTTTGGGGACTCAGATCCTCAGGGTCCTCTTTTAAATTTAGAGAAAAATGAGTGCACCGCACCAGCTGTTGGTATAGAGACGGGTGAAATTCTGGATTCTCAACTGTCTGCCTCATCTGGAGATCCGTCAAACGCTCGCTTGAACGGAGCAAAGACCTGGTGCAGAACATGGCCAGGCAGTGAGAGCGAGAATGTTTATGTTCAGGTAACTAACGAGCGGATTCCATTTTGTCGGCGTCTCTCAGTTTACCAAATATGACAGGTTCACCGTGACTACAGTGCGTCTCTACAATGCTAATAGATCACAGACGACGTCAAAATGTGGTGAGAACAAAAAAGTGGCCTATAAGACGCAGCTGAGTGTGTCATTAATGTTCTTACCACATTTTGATCTCTTGCCAATCACCGAACAGATGCATGACAACATGGAGTGTATTGCTTCTCTGTAATAAAGAAGCCCAAATTGTCCATGGTGACGTCATTTACGCGTCACTCCTTCAATAGATCATAACTGCGAACCAATCAAAATGCATGTATAATACAACTAATCAATTAATTGATTAATTAATCGCTGACAAAGTAAAGATATCTTGATAACTAATCTTAGTCAAAGGTGTGCAAATTACACTCCTGTCTGAGAGCAATGGACTATTCGATTCGGATGTGCTTTTTAATTCACCAGCACTATATGTATCTTTAACGTTTGCAGATTGATTTCGGCCGATCTTACCGTATTTGCGCAGTTGCCACTCAAGGAGATCACCCTGGAAGTCATAGTTATTTGGAAGAATACAAACTGAGATGGTCTCACGATGGTGTTAAATGGGAGGAATCTCCAGAGGTAGAAGTAGACAAACTGATAAATAAACATTTTTAACGGAAGTGGGGCGAAAATCTGTTGAAAAGGTCTCATTTCCTTGGTCAGTTGACTACATGTACCTTACACACTCCCTCTCCATCCATCCTGTGCACAAACGTTTCATAGGCGAATTTTTATCGGTTAAAAAACCTCGTATAAGTAGTAAATACAAATTATAGAATTGACTGGAATGACACGGCAGTTTTGGATAATGATGAAATCATCTTTTCAGGTCTAGTCACACCCTTAGAAATTCAGTTCTGGATACTCGAGTTGGCACAATTTCCTTTCCTGAAACACCCTATTCCTTTGCACGAATTTCACAGGTTTTAGAAGGAAATAGCAACAGGCATGAAGTGAAAAAGAACATCATCCCAGTGATTCAAGCTCGGTATGTTCGCCTTATACCGTTGAAATGGCATAACTGGACTTGTGCAAGAATGGAGTTTTATGGAGAGCCTTGGCCAGAAGGTGAAATTGCCTAAAGAGCCATATGATTAAGTGTTAGGATGATTGTGATTGGTCGTCAGCTATGATCTATAATAGCACAAACACGTGGCTGACGTCATGCAATACTTGTCTTTGCAAAACGGCAAGTAGTTTTAAAAAAATTTGGCACGACTTTTTCAAAACGTAAGCAAGTGATACTAGTGGGGGTATATACGAGGAATAGAGTGCTACGAGGTAAATTTGCTCTTCTCCACAAATTTTCTTTCCTGTCCTTTGCTTGACACAGCAGGATTACATTTCACATTGTGTTTGGTCTGATAGATAACAGGAGGTAAAACTTCTCGTCAGCGACAAACTCGTCTGCAGCTCGTCGAACAATTTTTTGCTGGTCACATTAGGCGTCATTTGGAATCACCATATCGACATTGTCAAGGCTTAGAATCATTTCAATTGTAAGGTCAATCATTAGATTCTGTGCAGAGTGCATTTTGCTTTATAACATAGAGGGGAAAATTACTAAATGCTGATCGGCTGAGAAAAGTGGCATTTTAACCACACTTTACTGAGTAAGGCTTAACTTTGCACAAAAATTTATAATTTCACGGATGGCAGATGCTTTTAATCAGGGTTGCTTATAATGCTTTGGAGCTGTTGTGCAAAAATATAACTTCATTCAGCTGATTGGTGCGTTTTACAGTTTTCTGACGCTAACTGATCATTAGAATGCCCTCCTACGATCGTGCGTAACAGCGTGCGTTGTTGATCTTCTTTATAAAAGAAATTTTGCCATTCATATTATTAAAAGGTAATCGCATGTTGCCTTGTAAAATTAAGGATTGAAATAACATTTATTTTCAGCATACATAAATTGCTCTCGTCACTGCGCGACTCCTGCAATTTCCGCAACCTCTGAGAACACGCGCGAAATTAATAGAATCCTCAATTTTCCTGGGCTCCATGTTATTACCTACACAAATTTCCAACATCACTCGATGACAGGACTAATCTATTCCGTAATCTTTACAATATACAAAGTGATTAACAGTTCGATGCATGTTTTTCATGTGTTTCATCTAGTCTTGGAGGCGTTGTTCATGCCAAGATTCGGTCCGGATAAAGTGCCAGCTGGTCAAGTGATTACATCACGAAGTGTCTCTGACGTCATGCAATGCATGAAGTTATGCTTGGTAACCGATCAGTGCCAGTCGCTTAATTTTAGCAGCAGTCTGAAGAAATGTGAAGTTAGCCGTTCTAAAAGTGAGATGTCCAGTATCGAAGATCGGGAAGGATTTCAGTATTACGAGATCGTTGCTGTTGAAGTCATTTCCATGTAATTAAATCAAAATAATTCCACGCTTGATTTGGCAGTAATAGTAGATTTACGACAGAAGTAATGTTGCAAGTCGCATCCCTCGTCAACAGCTCGAAATGTACAACATACTCAGTGGCTCGCGACAGTGACTCAGTCCATTGTAAATTAAGCGAGATCACCACGAACAACGGCCGTGACTTAATTATAGACCCCTCAATCAAAATGACGAACGGAATGAAAAAGTTACCAAGCATGCATTGTCTAAGTAACAAGTGCTGAAAATTGCAAGCCAGTAGAAATTGAAAGATCAGGGAACTGGTATTCTGAAAGTACTTATATTTTACAAGATTGTTCACGAAACGAGCGCTACAGGGCACCCTCAACCAAACACCTTCCCTTTTCACGACAATGCTCCTGGTTACTGAAACCTTTTCCCGGCTGACAGGTGTTTCGTAGTACACGGGGGTACTATGGTGCAGGGACAATTAGAGAAGCGTATTTTGCACCACGTACTACAATTGAACCAATCAGTAAGCCAGATTAGCATCCAAGATGGCGATTATCATGCTGTCACGCGCAAAGATTGCAGAATGTTAAGTGTATCATAGTAACACCGTATACTACTGTGCTTGTTTGGTGTTCATAAGAATTTCCTGTAGACTTGGGTTATTTGTTGTTGCTAATTATCATTAGAAATTTTGAAGGAAACCTCTGCGATTTGGGAACTCCACTGCCCAACGAAAACTTCAATCAGTTTCACAAACCAACTGTTTCCTTGGTTTATTCTGAAATGTTCATTATCTTTCATTGGTAATATGAATTACCATGTAAGCAACAAATTAGAAAACATTAACTTCTACTTGCCTTAGCTAATTTAAAATGGCACCATTATTTAAACTGAATCTACAAAGATCCTACGTCTTTCACGAAGTGATCTTATTGAAATAACACCAGCACTTCCCGGGCGTCCGTCTGAGACAATCCACCATTTTGACATTTGACCAATGTACATGTAGTGATGAGATTCTACAAAAACCCGAAAAATGGTTAACAAAAAGAGTCCAAACCTTGTGCAATTTTTAGGATAAATGGTTGACAGCTCTCAGTTTGCCAAGCCTTTCTTTTTCATTGACGTCTTTATGTTAAGGGCAATCGTTAAAACTACTGCACATCATTCCAAAGACAACAAAGATAATGAAATCAGGCTTCAGTTAAAGCTGATTTCTACAGCACAAAGAAGCTTAACCTTTCTTGGTTGTTCTTGTTACAGTGGTAATTCAATTTATCATTTTCCCGGTAACTGCTGGTGTCACTTTGATATTTGACCACATTGCAAGCATTAACCTTCACAAAACAACAGTAAAACTTTATGAACGCCTTAATCAAACTATTTCTAACATCAGCAGTTGTATACCACCTGCAGAATATAATTGGAATTTTAACTATGTTATAACAGCGATAAATATTTTTAGCAATATTTGCAATTATAGTTGCTACTGAAAAACGTAAAATGCTAAGGAAATCTTTCCTCATGACACTATCCTCAGACCTAGTGAGAGAATGTCTTTTATAATTATCCCATGTGTAAATTCGACCGATCAAAAGCCAAAGATTGCATGCATTGAATCGATGCAGCTTTCTTACCAGTATAATGATTAAGTGAACTCGCAAGAGGCATCAAGAAACAGTTGTAATATCAACTAATGCAGAATTTTTTGCTGTAATTAAACGTTCTTGTAACAGTATATTACATAGCAAGCCATTTTTTATTTTGAAACATGAAGTAGATGGCAAATAATTTGACATAAGTTTCCAGCTAATTGCGAACAAACAAACATATTTCGATTACAAAAGTATGATTCCTTTAGTTTTCGTTTGGAATTTGTTAAAGCATAGTAAGTTCACAAAAACCGCAGACGCTGACATTTTCAGCTGACATAAAAGCCGCCTGAAGGGGTTTATTTACTAAATAACTTGTCCTACGGGAATTATTATAGGCGAAACCTGAGATGTCAATTAGTTTTTAAAGAGACAAAATATGGCTTTTTGTCTTCATTTGACACATTAACAGTTCGGCTAAATATTTTCAGTATGATGTTCTTAACGTTTAGCGTTCAACTCTCAAGTCTCACGAATAGTAAACATTCTCAATCCGGAATTTATCGAGATTACCGAAGAGACCTCTTCTATACTTGGAGTTGACAACCCTTTGTAAAATGAACATCTAAAAGTGGAATTTGAACAGCGATACAGAAGCAAATGGTATACGCAGAAGATATGTTGCTAATGTGTAAAGTCTGTCTTACATACAAGCGGCAAATTTACATGAATATTTGCTACTTAAAAATTAGTTTATTTTTCTCATCCTTTTCCCCAACAAGATCGGCCTACTCCAACCTATAACTCATTCTTTCTTTTTCTGTAACTTCAAAAACTGCCATTATTTTAACCATTTTAAACATCAGAGTCAAGTAAGCGAGCTTAACTTAAAATTCTTCTTAAAATAATCAAAATTTTAAAAAAAACCCTCTTATACTATTGTTAGTGCAAACCATACAAACAATACCACACGTGCTTTTTCTAAAATTAAAACAACTTAAAACAACTCTTTTAGAGACACACCCAATGAAATCAGGATTCTCTAGAGAGTTTCCATCTCGCCCTGTGTTGCTAAGCCTTCGCGTAACTCTATCGCTTTCATCTCCTCCTCGTCTGGCCGCAGAAGGAAGCATATCCTCTGATACAGAGAACTCCCAGGGGTTTTGATAAGCTTGTAAGTGGCAACCCCTGGGATCCACAACATGGAGGCCAGCGCTAGAACCCAGCCACAGAATTCTGCCCATGGAGGATACTGATAATCACCATACTTTACGCCGCTCCACTGAATGACACTGAATAGGAAAACCCCTAGAGGATAAGAGGACAAATAGGACAAACAACAGTGAGAACGGCTGGCTTTAAATAACTTTTGAAATTTAGTACTTTTTTATTGAGCGCCATAAAACCAAAACCAAAGTCATCACACCGTCCAAAAAGATCAAAGGACAAAAAGCCGACGCGAGAACTTGAGATAATGTCGTGAGATGCTAACTGGTAAAAGCCTTATGTAGGGCAACCTTACCGGTCAATACGAGAGGCGAGTGGTTTTTTTAATCACTAACTACCGTAAATAACAAGGGGAGAGAGGAATTTTCAGGCGACGGACACCACGGCCATGGTTTTTCCTTATCCCACGTTCGCGACAGTACCAAAAAAACATCCTCCCTTATTCCATTACCGCGATCAAAATTTCCTAATTTCAAAATTTCAAATTTTTGCAAGACCCTTTGTACATCGCTGATCCTCGCAGTATGCAGGATGTGTATCGTATATTAACGGGGTAAGGGCTTAGCACAAAATTAATCTCTCAGTAGTAGCTCAGTGGTAGAGCATTGTAGCGCGGACTCCGAAGGTCTTAAATTAAATTCAAGACACAGATTTTTTTCTTTGTCCCACGCCCGCGACAAGACGATTAAACATCTTTTCTAAAACAGCAGTGAATGTTTCAGGACTGAGTAACGATTAGTTAGGGCTGGTTTGACAATTTGGTATATTTCTCCATTACGTTATCCCTCTACTTCTAAGTTTTAGACGAGAGAGACACGCGTAGTTCTTTTGTATCACCACCAACCTAAAATAACAAGCGGGGTGAGAAATTTCCAGGCAATAGGCCACCATCGCCATATTTTGTAACCAATCATGTTCTCGATGTCTTTAGCAAAACGGTCTGCTCCATAGCCCCAGGAAACGGTGAGAACTTCAAACAAAGCCAAGAACAGCAAGGACACTCCACCAGACTGATAGTTGTACAGGTTAAGAATATACATGCCGCCCTAAAATGCAACGTATCACATGTCTATTTACTATCATGATCAAGATAAAATGGTCTCCATACACTAATCAAGTCATGCCACTAAATTGAACAAATTCCGACAGTAATAATTTATTTTCTTCCTAGTAAAAAATAGACGCACCCAAAAAGCTTAAATGTTCGCCTGTCCTGAAACAATTTCAAATTTCCTTCTATTTAAAAGCGATTTCCTACATGGATGAAGCTCTTAAAGTAATTAAAAACCGACAGAGCGGTCAAACACTGTGCATGCGTATCTTTAAAAAAAGCAATATGGCGGATTTTGACCCCTGTGTTTTAAAAACCACAGTACCTGCATGACCATAGGGATACCCAGCAGGAAGCAGAGGAAACACAGGAAAGCGATAAATAGCTCTTTGCGTTTTTTCAAAAAGCGCGGGTACTCATCCACAAGGCCAGTCACAACAGCTTCAAACATGGCGAACTGGGTATCAAGCCCTAACGTTAACAACATGAAGAAGAACAACACAGCCCAGAATGGAGAAATAGGCATCTGGGCAATCCCCTCAGGATAAACAACGAAAGCCAAGCCAGGACCGGATGTAGCCACGTCTTTGACTGCCTTGCCGGACACGTGTGCCATGAAGCCAAGCACGCTGAAGATCACGAAGCCAGCAAAGACACTGGTACTGCAGTTTATAACGGATACAATCATGGCATCTCTGAAACAAACAAAGTTTGATGGTTACGTCTAGGACATAAGCTAAGCACATCAAAACCTTCTCCATTACAGTTTAGCACAAGTACTGTTAAGGCTTCCCTTTTTCCCTAAATAAAGAAAGGGGCTGCGAGAGTAGAGTGCGCCGCCATTGAACAGCACCATGGCTCAGCCACAGCTCGAAAGGGGTCTTTTAGATCCGCATAATGTCCCCAAACAAAAAACAAACAGAATATCAATCAAACAGACAAACAAGTATGATAATGACGGAGGAAAGTCGAACAAGCAAGCAAGCGAGCAAGTAAAAAAGTCTTATTAAAGTGTGTAACTCACCTGAAACAGTTGTTATGAAACTGGTTGAAACTCCCCATGGTAATGAGCGAACCAAATCCGATACCAAGTGAATAAAATATCTGAGTGGCAGCTGTAGCCCAGACAGAGGCATCGGCCAGCTTCTTGAAATCGGGCTTCAAATAGAATTCGATGCCCTTAGATGCACCAGGCAAAGTAACCCCCCGGATAAGCAAAATTACAAGAACCACATAAGGGAAAGTAGCGGTGAAATATACCACCTTCCCCGAGGACTTTATTCCCTTCCACAGACAAAAATACACCAGAATCCAGGCCACGATGAGTGCTACTAACAGCTCGACACGCATTGAACCGAGGTCTCCCATGTCGTCTGTAATTCGAAGGACATAATTTTCCCAGAATTCTTTGCTGGGAGAATTGCTATCCACGGCAGAAACTTTCGTGACGGTAGCAGTAGCATTTGCAGTGGCGTTGAGGGTCGTGTTAAGGCATTTCAACATTGGCATGGATGCATTCGTTACAGTCATGTTCCCGCCAGTCAAGTTTCCAACTTCTGGAAAGGTTTGGTTAATACAAGAGGTGGCGTAGAGGAGTTCCGTGTTGTTGCCTGTTGTGTTACTGGGCACACCTCCATTTTCAGTGACTCTACTCGTTTTCTTTGCGCGTGCGCAGTTGGGTGTGTTCCACCAGTTATTACAATTTGCCCACGGAAC